AAAAAACACACATCCATATTTGCCCTGAACCCCCCTAGCTGCGTTAAATGGTTCGTTTCTACTTGGAGTGCTTGAGTGACGCCGTTAACAGCAGACAGTGGAAGACATGAACAATTGTCAGTTACTATGCTGCTAAGAAAAGTTATAAAATCAGGTTTTCAAAATAAAAGAGAGAGGTAGAGAGAGATAAAAAGGCAAGAGTGTTAATTTATAACCCAGTTTTTCTCCAAGAGAGGTGGGTAGACTGTGTGATATTATCAACCATTTAGCATAATTAGCTTAGCTACAGACTACTGTTTGCCTCCCTTTGTGGAGGCAAAAACAGGAGGAGGAGGCATTTAATGAACTAAGAAAAAAATTACCAACATATTCATATATTTAACTTGTCCCTTGTACCTTTTACCACTTGACAACAGATGAATCAGTCAGCAGGAGCTCTAACCCATGCCCTCCTGACCCATCCTCTCCCAAGTAAAATTAAAGCTGCAGTATGTCACTTTTATATAAATATTTTTTTCACATTTTAAAACTGTCATTACGTTGTTACAGTATGGCATGAGAGGTAATCTGTGAAAAATCTATTTCCTCTGCTTTCTCCCAGTGCTAGAAACAACCAGCCAAAGGCAGGAGAGTTTTAGTGCCTTCGATCACAATCTAATTTTTTGTCCGGGGGCCACAATTCCTGGCAGCGCCCCTGGATAGCATAATCACATTATCTACATCAGTGTTTTTCAACCACTGTTCCGCGGCACACTAGTGTGCCGTGGAAATTATTGAACTTCACCTATGGTACCGTATTTTCCGGACTGTAAGCTGCTACTTTTTTCCTAAACTTTGAACCATGCAGATTGTAGCCCGGTGCGGCTTTTCTGTGTACTTTCCTTCAACCACCAGGGGGCTCTCTAGCAGGAAGTGAATCATTAGAAGTCAAAATTGTAGATCAAAGAAGAACGCGCTAATTTTCATTTAGAACAACCACATGCTAGCAGCAGGCACGTCGGAGAAATGTTTTCAGACTCATATGATGCAGCTTTTAAGTTGAGGGCTGTCGATCTGGCACTATAGGAGGGAAATAAAGCTGCTGCACTTAAGCTCGGTGTGAACAAAACCATGGTTAGTAGTGGCTAGCGGCGTAATCATGTAATTTTCTTACCACTAGATGGCAGTAGGTACAGAGCATTTTACATTAAAACAAGAGAATTAGTGATGCATGAATGTTACAGGTAGCGGTGAGAGCATCGTATCTAGCAAGACTGTGACGACAGTGATGGAAAAGACAGTGAAGCTCAGCATCTGTTGGAAAGAACATGGGTCCATTTCCCACAACATGTCTGTGTGAAGTGAGCTTCTCAAGCATGGTTACTATAAAAACTGAAACCAGAGAGAGACTGAGAGCTGTTGAGGAAGGGCTTTGGCTTTCTTCAATTTCTGCCAGGAAATCAGCTGTTTTCATCCAAATATGCACAGGTTTCATTCTAGATGGGTAAAATATACAGATATTGACATTTTGTACATGCAAATCTTCATATTGTAACAGTGAAATGTTTCCAAATATTATTGCTTCTTTCAGAATAAGAATTATTTTCTGTATTCTGGCTATAAGAATGCTTGTGAAATAGTTTGTAAAACACTTTGAAGTTTTCTACAACTTCTTTAAATTTAAGACCACAGTGTTGTGGCCCTGTTCAGGTGTATTTTTGAAGTGGACATGTTACGTGCAATTTGAAATAAGAAATGTAAAATGTGATAAAAGAACATTTTTGTGTTTATTTGATTCCTATTCAAGGCACTTTGATAAGAATGACTATATATGTAATATAGCCGACTACAGATTATCTTTGTTTACATTTTTGGTTGGTGGTGTGCCTCGAGATTTTTTTTCAATTAAAACAGTGTACCTTGGCTCAAAAAAGGTTGAAAAACACTGATCTACATAAACAATACTGAAGCATAAAATATCATCAAACTTCTAAAATATTAGATACTCACACACAGTTGCATCTCTGTCCTCATCATCAGGACGTTCCTGAAGAGTTCTGATTAACACAAATGTGACTCCCATTCCGTGGAGTCTGTGGAAATAAATGTAAAATTAAAAAAATATTGTAGCAAATAAATTGTTTTCTCAAAAATACATAAGTAAATAAGTTAAAATTATTCTCAACCAACCATTATACAGTCGGGAATCAACGCAGTGACTGTAATGCATACCGGCTTCATGACGTCGTCCTCATATCCGTCCTCCGTCCGCCATTTTGTCGATCTCTACTGCTTTCCACACTCTGCCTTGCTGTACTGCGTTATAACAAAATAAATAAAATAACGGGAAGATCAGTTTTCCTTACAAATATGCGAGTGTTCACTATTGACTAAATGTGAAATCATAACTTACTGAATTTCTCTTCGTCCTGGTGAACTCTGTAAGAGCGCCTCGGCACCGTGGTCTGAGGCCTGGCTGTTTAGGCTTGGCCATTTTTCTGGTCTGAAAAAAATTAAAGAAGATGCGAGTATTTTTAAGAGTTCAGAACATCACATGTAATAAAAAATACAATACGAAATCTCACCCTACACTTGTTTTGAGATTATGAAAACGACAGACCGCTTTCTGTAAGAAACAAACAAAGCAACTCGCCTCGCTGCACGTGCTCACTATTCATAAAAGCTTTCTTACCTGAGTTCGGCCTTGTTGGACGGACCGCCGTGGTGTCATCTGTTGTTTTCCGCCGGGAAAATGCTTAATATCAATACTATACTGAAAAAGTAACTCCGTGAAATAGTACTTTTTCCACCATTTCACACAACGCACGGGCATTTTCGTTCATGTTGGGTCTCGCAGTAGCCGGTGCAAATCTTCCTCTGGAGTTTAATGGCGGCTGCTTGACCGAATATGAAAGCGCATTACTGCCACCAACTGGACTGGAGTGTTAAATGAAAGTTGACAGAAGAAAAATACATTCTAAAAGTTATTTCAAAAGTTACGTGACAGTATATTTTATTTTTATTATAATTAATTGCTAAAATGTTTTTAAATGTATAGATGTTTATTTACTCAATTCTACTTTGAGCTGTCTCCTTTTTAGTTCATCCGTGAGTTATATTTAGTGCTTAACTAACAAAACTTTTTAAAAAAAGAATACAAATGTTTATACTCTATCAGAAGGTATCACATACTTTCAACCATTTTGTTCTTCAATTTAAACTTGAGAGTTAAGCAACTGAATACTGATAAATCATCTGTAGTTTCTTAAGTCCTGTATTGTGATGTGGAATGGTGTCACTACCACTCCAATATAGCATGACTCTGGGTCTTTAAAGCAATCAGTGAACATTAACATTAGTTTGAATATTATTCACAAAATACTTTATCTACAATGAACCACTCTGGAACATGTTTTTTATTATTATTTTTGATTAAGTTGTGCAATTCCTCCCATCACAAGATAAATCTTAAGATGGGAGGAATGTCAAAGTAAGATCACGTTTCACAAAAGTCTATTGTATGTAATTATGCATATTCTTCTTTTATATCATCAATTCACCCAAAACTAAGTTTTTCAGTGCTCCAAACACCAATGTAATATAGATTTTAATGGATATGATA